CCCGTTCAAAGGCACTTAAATCTTTGGTCTTGCCTATTCATCCTCTGAATGGCACACACACAATCCATGTCTCAATTGTCTTTAACCTGTCTCCTCCCCCTCATCTACACCAGGGATGGGCAACTGGCGGCCCTTTTGAAAGCCCTCGGATCAATCCTCCCCCCTCCCTAAACGCAACATGTAGAGTGTTGGTCCCATGTTTCATGAGCTGAAATAAAAGATCCAAGAAATTTCTCATATGCATAAAAAGCTTATTTCTCTCAAAATTTGCCCACAAATTTGTTTACATCCCTGTTAGTTAGCATTTCTAATTTGCCAAGATAATACATCCACCTGACAGGTGTGGCATATCAAGAAGCTGATTAAACAGCATGATAATTACACAGATGTCTCAAGTTTTGAGTGAGCGTGCAATTGGCATGCCGACTGCAGGAATGTCCACCTTCTCTCAGCACATATCCAAGCTGCAAGCTAAAGTTAAATCTACATCTGGTTTCCTCTATCGTAATCGCTCCTCTTTCACCCCAACTAACCCTGATTCAGATGACCATTCTACCCATTCAACCTCAGGAGGCTGAAGAAATGTGGCTTGGCCCCTAAGACCCTCAAAGTTTTACAGATACACAATTGAGAGCATCCTGTCGGGCTGTATCACCGCCTGGTACGGCAACTGCACCGCCCGCAACCGCAGGGCTCTCCAGAGGGTGGTGTGGTATGCCCAACGCATCACCGGGGGCACACTGCCTGCCCTCCAGGACACCTACAGCACCCGATGTTACAGGAAGGCCAAAAAGATCATCAAGGACATCAACCACCCGAGCCACGGCCTGTTCACCCCGCTATCATCCAGAAGGCGAGGTCAGTACAGGTGCATCAAAGCTGGGACTGAGAGACTGAAAAACAGCTTCTATCTCAAGGCCATCAGACTGTTAAATAGCCATCACTAGCCGGCTACCACCCGGTTACTCAACCCTACACCTTAGAGGCTGCTGCCCTATATACATAGACATGGAATCACTGGCCACTTTAATAATGTTTACATACTGCTTTACCCATCTCCATATGTATATACTGTATTCTATTCTACTGTATTTTAGTCAATGCCACTCCGACGTTGCTCGTCCTAATATTTATATATTTCTTAATTCCATTCTTTTACTTTTAGATTTGTGTATTGTTAGATACTACTGCACTGTTGGAGCTAGGATTTTTTTTTTTTTACATCCCAGCCCCCGTCCCCGCAGGAGGCCTTTTGCCTCTTGGTAGGCCGTCATTGTAATGAAGAATTTGTTCTTACATTTACATTTTAGTAATTTAGCAGACGCTCTTATCCAGAGCAATTTACAGTTAGTGTGTGCATACATTATTTTTTAAATTTAAATTTTATTTTTCATACTGGCCCCCCGTGGGAATAGAACCCACAACCCTGGCGTTGCAAACGCCATGCTCTACCAACTGAGCTACATCCCTGCCGGCTACGACAGAGCCTGGATTCGAACCAGGATCTCTAGTGGCACAGCCAGACCACTGTGCCACTCGGGAGGTTTCTTAATTGACTTGCCTAGTTAAATAAAGGTTAAATAAAAATAAGTAAGTAACCTTGTCCGAGTCCCATAGTTGAGTTAGTTTCAAAGACTAAAAACTTGCTCATATAGTATTTTCAAAGACAATTCCACCCACTATATTATCAAATGACTGTAAATTATCTTGTGAATTATCGTCTCTTATAACCAAAAAGAGCTTCTGGATATCAGGACAGCGATTACTCACCTCGTATTGGACGAAGATTTTTTCTTCAACGAGGCGGCCGCGAAGGATATCATACAGACACCCGACAAGGCCCAAATCCCCGTCATTCGCGTGAAGAAGAGACGGAGATATCGTGGACGCAGATCGGGGTGCCTTGTAAGGATCCGACGGCGAGCGAGTAAACTGCCTCTTCCATCAATCCTATTAGCCAACGTTCAATCTTTTGAAAATAAAGTGGACGATTTAAGATTACGGTTATCCTACCAACGGGACATTAAAAACTGTAATATATTATGTTTCACCGAGTCGTGGCTGAACGACGACAATGATAACATTCAGCTAGCAGGCTATACGCTACATCGGCAGGACAGAACGGCTGACTCTGGTAAGACAAGGGGTGGCGGTCTGTGTATATTTGTAAACAACAGCTGGTGCACAAAACCAAATACTAAGGAAGTCTCGAGGTTTTGCTCGCCTGAGGTAGAGTATCTTATGATAAGCTGTAGACCACACTATTTACCAAGAGAGTTTTCATCTATATTTTTCATAGCTGTCTATTTACCACCACAAACCAATGCTGGCATTAAGATTGCACTGAATGAGTTGTACAAGGCCATTAATCAACAGGAAAACGCTCATCCAGATGCAGCGCTCCTAGTGGCCGGGGACTTTAATGCAGGGAAACTTAAATCCGTTCTACCTAATTTCTACCAGCATGTTAAATGTGCAACCAGAGGGAAAAAAAACTCTAGACCACCTTTACTCCACACACAGAGACGCATACAAAGCTCTCCCTCGCCCTCCATTTGGCAAATCTGACCATAACTCTATCCTCCTGATTCCTGCTTATAAGCAAAAACTAAAGCAGGAAGCACCAGTGACTCGGTTAATAAAAAAGTGGTCAGATGACGCAGATGCTAAGCTACAGGACTGTTTTGCTAGCACAGACTGGAACATGTTCCGGGATTCTTCAGACAGCATTGAGGAGTACACCACATCAGTCACTGGCTTCATCAATAAGTGCATCGATGATGTCGTCCCCACAGTGACCGTACGTACATACCCCAACCAGAAGCCATGGATTACAGGAAACATCCGCACTGAGCTAAAGGGTAGAGCTGCCGCTTTCAAGGAACGGGACTCTAACCCGGACGCTTATAAGAAATCCCGCTATGACCTCCGACGAACCATCAAACAGGCAAAGAGTCAATACAGGTCTAAGATTGAATCGTACTACACTGGCTCTGACGCTCGTCGGATGTGGCAGGGCTTAAAAACTATTACAGACTACAAAGGGAAGCACAGCCGCGAGCTGCCCAGTGACACAAGCCTACCAGACGAGCTAAACCACTTCTATGCTCGCTTCGAGGCAAGCAACACTGAAGCATGCATGAGAGCACCAGCTGTTCCGGATGACTATGTGATCACGCTCTCCATAGCCGATGTGAGTAAGACTTTTAAGCAGGTCAACATTCACAAGGCCGCAGGGCCAGACGGATTACCAGGACGTGTACTCCGAGCATGTGCTGACCAACTGGCAAGTGTCTTCACTGACATTTTCAACATGTCCCTGACTGAGTCTGTAATACCAACATGTTTCAAGCAGACCACCATAGTCCCCGTGCCCAAGGACTCTAAGATAACCTGCCTAAATGACTACCGACCCGTAGCACTGACGTCTGTAGCCATGAAGTGCTTTGAAAGGCTGGTCATGGCTCACATCAACAGCATTATCCCAGAAACCCTAGACCCACTCCAATTTGCATACCGCCCCAACAGATCCACAGATGATGCAATCTCTATTGCACTCCACACTGCCCTTTCCCACCTGGACAAGAGGAACACCTACGTGAGAATGCTATTCATTGACTACAGCTCAGCATTCAACACCATAGTGCCCTCTAAGCTCATCACTAAGCTAAGGATCCTGGGACTAAACACCTCCCTCTGCAACTGGATCCTGGACTTCCTGACGGGCCGCCCCCAGGTGGTAAGGGTAGGTAACAACACATCTGCCACACTGATCCTCAACACGGGGGCCCCTCAGGGGTGCGTGCTCAGTCCCCTCCTGTACTGTCTGTTCACCCATGACTGCATGGCCAGGCACGACTCCAACACCATCATTAAGTTTGCCGACGACACAACAGTGGTAGGCCTGATCACCGACAACGATGAGACAGCCTATAGGGAGGAGGTCAGAGATCTGGCCGTGTGGTGCCAGGACAACAACCTCTCCCTCAACGTGACCAAGACAAAGGAGATGATTGTGGACTACAGGAAAAAAAAGAGGACTGAGCACGCCCCCATTCTCATCGACGGGCCTGTAGTGGAACAGGTTGAGAGCTTCAAGTTCCTTGGTGTCCACATCACCAACGAACTATCATGGTCCAAACACACCAAGACAGTCGTGAAGAGGGCACGACAAAGCCTATTCCCCCTCAGGAGACTAAAAAGATTTGGCATGGGTCCTCAGATCCTCAAAAAATTCTACAGCTGCACCATCGAGAGCATCCTGACTGGTTGCATCACCGCCTGGTATGGCAACTGCTTGGCCTCCGACCGCAAGGCACTACAGAGGGTAGTGCGTACGGCCCAGTACATCACTGGGGCAAAGCTTCCTGCCATCCAGGACCTCTATACCAGGCGGTGTCAGAGGAAGGCCCTCAAAATTGTCAAAGACTCCAGCCACCCTAGTCATAGACTGTTCTCTCTGCTACCGCACGGCAAGCGGTACCGGAGTGCCAAGTCTAGGTCCAAAAGACTTCTCAACAGCTTCTACCCCCAAGCCATAAGACTCCTGAACAGCTAATCATGGCTACCCGGACTATTTGCACTGCCCCCCCCACCCCATCCTTTTTACGCTGCTGCTACTCTGTTAATTATTTATGCATAGTCACTTTAACTCTACCCACATGTACATATTACCTCGACTACCTCAACTAGCCGGTGCCCCCGCACATTGACTCTGCAACGGTACCCCCCTGTATATATAGCCTCCCTACTGTCACTTTATTTTACTTCTGCTCTTTTTTTTTCTCAACACTTTTTTTGTTGTTTTATTTTTACTTTTTTTGTTTAAAATAAATGCACTGTTGGTTAAGGGCTGTAAGTAAGCATTTCACTGTAATGTCTGCACCTGTTGTATTCGGCGCATGTGACCAATAAAATTTGATTTGATTTGATTTGAAGATGTTATCTACCAGCTGCTAATGACAACAACCCACCTCCTCCACCTCAACTCGAGACACCTTGGGCAGTGCATCACCTCCATCTTTCTTCCTCCTCTTTTTCACCGCCCCCTTTCCTGCTGCTTGCTCCTCCCCCAGGACCGCATCCCGGAACTTCTTCTGGCTCTGGGACTTCTGGGATCTGTAGGCAAAACCATATGTTTGTGTTTTTTTGGCAAAATTGAGTACTTTTATGGGACACAGCATGACGAAGTTTGATGTTTTTACAAGAAACACTTTTCCTTCCTCCAAGTCACACTTACTTGAAATGATAACACTTTATAATAACGTCTAGCAATAAACCATTTCATTATGAATGCTTACATTTTTTTATAAATGATTTAAAAAATGCTTTATAAACTATTATATATACCCCCCTAAGGGAACGGTTGCATAGTACCTAGTCCCTACATAGTGCACTACTTTTGACCAGACCCATAGATAGTGCACTTTATAGGGTATATGATGCCATTTGGGACGCAAACCACATCTCTCTCTCTCCAGCCCCCTCACCTGAAGTATTTCTCCAGGTCTATGACCACCAGACTGGGGGTCCTGCCAGGGTTGCTAGCCTGCAGACCCATGGTCCAGGAGGTCAAAGAGGGGCTACAGTCTGCACCTCCACCCCTCTGCTCCTGGGTAACATACAGACAGCGAGGAGAGAGGGAGGTCAGAATCTGGTCACAGTTTATTGCCTAATATTTGCAAATGTGTCCTGGATTGATGCAATTATTATCAGCACAAGTGTTGAGACGGCAAAGGTTGTTTTGTGTATTTTTTTGTACGGATGTTTAGCATGAAATACTGTACATCATCATTGTGTGACTATGCCTTCTTGGTTGTTCTTATTGTTGCTCGACAACAAGGTATACTTAAGCAAGAAGGCCAGAGGGGGTGTGGTTTATGGCCAATATACCACGGCTAAGGACTGTTCTTAAGCACGACGCAACACGGAGTGCCTGGATACAGCCCTTAGCCGTGGTATATTTCCAATATTCCACAAACCCCCGAAGTGCCTTATTGCTATTATAAACAGTTTACCAACGTAATTAGAGCAGTAAAAATAAATGTTTTGTCATACCCGTGGTATACGGGTCTGATATCACAGCTTTCAGCCAATCAGCATTCAGGGCTAAAACCACCCAGTTTATAATCAGCAATATGCTACAACAAAACATACTAATATGCTCTTCCGGGTCATTGTTAATGGTGAGCCCATGTTAGCATTTTAGCATGTTTTGTTGTAGCCTCTGTAAGCTTCTTACTCATCATTATTCATGATACATTCATGTTTTTTCTTAATCATGGCATTATCAGGATTAATTTAGAACTGTTCAGAAACATTTTCTATTCTTACTTGAATAGAAAATGGCATAAGACATTATTCACCATTCAATTCTGGTTGGGCAAAACATAACCCACAACACGAAAAAACTGCAAATGCATCCAAGGAGTTTGTAGAATTACAAGCTTGATGTAGTCATTGCATGCAAGGAATACGGGACAAAATAGTACACTTTTGACTACTTTCATACACTTTATCGAGCTCATTAATCTAGAGGTTCACATACCTTTCCCCACAAAGAAAGTGAATGTTGGATCAATTTGCTCAATAAAGAAATTAAAAAGTACAATTGTTTTTGTACTATTTGTTTAAATCAGGTTCACTTTATCTATACTCAACAAAAAAAATAATACAACATGTAAAGTGTTTCATGAGCTGAAATAAAAGATCCAATACATTTTCCGTATGCACAAAAAGTGTATTTCTCTCATATTTTGGGCCCACATTTGTTTACATCACTGTTAGTGAGCATTTATCCTTAGCCTAGATAAACCATCCCCTGACAGGTGTGGCATATCAAGAAGCTGATTAAACAGCATGATCATTACACAGGTGTACCTTGTGCTGGGGACAATAAAAGGCCACTCTAAAATGTCTCAAGTTGAGGGAGCATCCAATGTCATATTGACTGCAGGAATGTTCACCAGAGCTGTTGCCAGATAATTTAATGTTAATTTCTCTACCATAAGCCGCCTCTCCAACATAGTTTTGGAGAATTTGGCAGTATATCCAACAGGCCTCACAACTGCAGACCACGTGTAGTCCCGTGTAGCTCAGTTGGTAGAGCATGGCGTTTGCAACGCCAGGGTTGTGGGTTCGATTCCCACGGGGGGCCAGTATGAACATGTATGCACTCACTAAAACTGTAAGTCGCTCTGGATAAGAGCGTCTGCTAAATCACTCAAATGTAAATGTAAAATGTGTAACCACGCCAGCCCAGGACCATTTTTACCAATAGGTTCCCCTCTTTGCGAGGCATTGGAAAACCTCCCTGGTCTTTGTGGATGAATCTGTGTTTCAAATTCACTGCTTGATTGAGGGACCTTACAGATAATTGTATGTGTGGGTTACAGAGATGAGGTAGTCATACAATAATCACATTAAACACTATTATTGCACACAGAGTGACTTATGTGACTTGTTAAGCACATTTTTATTTCTGAACTTATTTAGGCTTGCCATAACAAATGGGTTGAATACTTATTGACTCAAGACATTTCAGCTTTTCATTTTTATTTAATTTGTAAACATTTAGAAAATCATAATTCCACTTTGACATTATGGGGTACATGAGACATGGATTGTGGGTGAATGGGCAAGACAAAATATTTAAGTGCCTTTGAACAGGGTATGGTAGTAGGTTCCAGTGTGCCAAGAACTGCAACGCTGGTGGGTTTTTCACGCTAACAGTTTCCTGTCTGTATCAAGAATGGTCCACCACCCAAATGACATCCAGCCAACTTGACAACTGTGGGAAGCATTGAGTCAACATGGGCCATCATCCCTGTGGAACGCTTGACAACTTGACAAAAAAGTCCATGCCCCGACGAATTGAGGCTGTTCTGAGGGCAAAGGTGGGTGCAACTCAATATTACGAAAGTGTTCCTAATGTTTTGTACCCGCAGTGTATATGTGTATGTATAGACCTATGACCATGAACTGCTGTGCGAACACCCCTCCCCAACTAGCACATTCCAGCTAGTCAGCAGAAACAGGAAGTGGGATGATACCATAGCAACGCCCGACCCAGAGAGGTGTCACTCACCTGAGTGTAGCTATGGATCAGGTTGATGAAGTCATCAACAGGTACTTGCATCACTGTGTGGGCCTCTGGGATACACAACACCTCACCTGTCTGAGAAGCAACAGAGATTAAGGGTTTGTTTGACATTGATCAACTACATTGCAGTCAGCGACTGCCAAGTGACCGATCTACAAATCACCTGGCATAATAAATAAACTATTCATTATTAATTGTACATCAGTCAGTCAGTAACAATTTACCCATAATGCGTCACAGATTCAACATGACCACAAAAAGCTATGGGTTGCATGTACGGATGTGAACGTTTAAACAAGATTGGGATCCTTAACGTTAAGAAATATCCCTAACCCAAAAACTATGTTTTTTGTTTCCCCCCCCCACATAATTAAAATCACAGTGCAGTTATCACAAAACATTATTTTCCTTGTTATAGCCTAACTAGAGGATAGGCTATAAAGGCCTGGGGAAAGTTGTGTAATTTAAATGAAACCAGAGAGGAAGAGGCGAACTTTAGGCTACTTTGGTGAATTTGCGAGCCATTCAAGACAAACATTGCGAGTTTCAGATTACCAGGACATATGCGCACCACGGTTCTTTCTGCCTGCCCCCTCCTTTCTCTCCCTCCCTCACGCTGGCTCGCCTGGGGCGTATTCATTATTCTGTTGCAAATGTTTCAGAATAGAAGCAAACGGAACGAAACGGGGAGGGACTTACCTGAATTTGTTTAATAGAAACTCTAGTTTTAGTTGCAAACTGTTTGGACTAATGATTACAGCCCCGCTCTTTCGCTTCCCTAATGATGCAAGTGTGTGTTAAGGTTTCGGTCTGTTGCGTGTAGAATATCCTAGCCTATTTTTTTTTATAATTTTCTTAAAGATTTTAGGGGATAGATCAGCTTTAATATTGCAGATAGATTGTAACTTCCATCAATGTAATTGTCTGCATCACTTCCAATCCCCCATATGTTTTTTTCTCGCATATATATATATATATATATATATATATATATATATATATATATATATATATATATATATATATATATATATATATATATATATATATACACACACACACACTGCTCAAAAAAAATAAAGGGAACACTTAAACAACACAATGTAACTCCAAGTCAATCACACTTCTGTGAAATCAAACTGTCCACTTAGGAAGCAACACTGATTGACAATAAATGTCACATGCTGTTGTGCAAATGGAATAGACAACAGCTGGAGATTATAGGCAATTAGCAAGACACCCCCATACAAAACCAAAGGACTGGTTTTGCAGGTGGTGACCACAGACCACTTCTCAGTTCCTATGCTTCCTGGCTGATGTTTTGGTCACTTTTGAATGCTGGCGGTGCTTTCACTCTAGTGGTAGCATGAGACGGAGTCTACAACCCACACAAGTGGCTCAGGTAGTGCAGCTCATCCAGGATGGCACATCAATGCGAGCTGTGGCAAGAAGGTTTGCTGTGTCTGTCAGCGTAGTGTCCAGAGCATGGAGGCGCTACCAGGAGACAGGCCAGTACATCAGGAGACGTGGAGGAGGCCGTAGGAGGGCAACAACCCAGCAGCAGGACTGCTACCTCTGCCTTTGTGCAAGGAGGAGCAGGAGGAGCACTGCCAGAGCCCTGCAAAATGACCTCCAGCAGGCCACAAATGTGCATGTGTCTGCTCAAACGGTCAGAAACAGACTCCATGAGGATGGTATGAGGGCCCGACGTCCACAGGTGGGGGTTGTGCTTACAGCCCAACACCGTGCAGGACGTTTGGCATTTGCCAGAGAACACCAAGATTGGCAAATTCGCCACTGGCGCCCTGTGCTCTTCACAGATGAAAGCAGGTTCACACTGAGCACGTGACAGACGTGACAGAGTCTGTAGACGCCGTGGAAAACATTCTGCTGCCTGCAACATCCTCCAGCATGACCGGTTTGGTGATGGGTCAGTCATGGTGTGGGGTGGCATTTCTTTGGGGAGCCGCACAGCCCTCCATGTGCTCGCCAGAGGTAGCCTGACTGCCATTAGGTACCGAGATGAGATCCTCAGACCCCTTGTGAGACCATATGCTGGTGCGGTTGGCCCTGGGGTCCTCCTAATGCAAGACAATGCTAGACCTCATGTGGCTGGAGTGTGTCAGCAGTTCCTGCAAGAGGAAGGCATTGATGCTATGGACTGGCCCGCCCGTTCCCCAGACCTGAATCCAATTGAGCACATCTGGGACATCATGTCTCGCTCCATCCACCAACGCCACGTTGCACCACAGACTGTCAAGGAGTTGGCGGATGCTTTAGTCCAGGTCTGGGAGGAGATCCCTCAGGAGACCATCCGCCACCTCATCAGGAGCATGCCCAGGCATTGTAGGGAGGTCATACAGGCACGTGGAGGCCACACACACTACTGAGCCTCATTTTGACTTGTTTTAAGGACATTACATTAAAGTTGGATCAGCCTGTAGTGTGGTTTTCCACTTTAAATTTTGAGGGTGACTCCAAATCCAGACCTCCATGGGTTGATAAATTTGATTTCCATTGATAATTTTTGTGTGATTTTGTTGTCAGCACATTCAACTATGTAAAGAAAAAAGTATTTAATAAGATTATTTCATTCATTCAGATCTAGGATGTGTTATTTTAGTGTTCTCTTTATTTTTTTGAGCAGTGTATATTCAAATAGGTATATGTACAGTGAGGGAAAAAAGTATTTGATCCCCTACTGATTTTGTATGTTTTCCCACTGACAAAGACATGATCAGTCTATAATTTTTAATGGTAGGTTTATTTGAACAGTGAGATACAGAATAACAACAAAAAAATCCAGAAAAACGCATGTCAAAAATTTTATAAATTGATTTGCATTTTAATGAGGGAAATAAGTATTTGACCCCTCTGCAAAACATGACTTAGTACTTGGTGGCAAAACCCTTGTTGGCAATCACAGAGGTCAGACGTTTCTTTTAGTTGGCCACCAGGTTTGCACACATCTCAGGAGGGATTTGTTCCACTCCTCTTTGCAGATCTTCTCCAAGTCATTAAGGTTTCGAGGCTGACGTTTGGCAACTCGAACCTTCAGCTCCCTCCAAAAATGTTCTATGGGATTAAGGTCTGGAGACTGGCTTGGCCACTCCAGGACCTTAATGTGCTTCTTCTTGAGCCACTCCTTTGCTGCCTTGGCCGTGTGTTTTGGGTTATTGTCATGCTGGAATACCCATCCACGACCCATTTTCAATGCCCTGGCTGAGGGAAGGAGGTTCTCACCCAAGATTTGACGGTACATGGCCCCGTCCATCGTCCCTTTGATGCGGTGAAGTTGTCCTGTCCCCTTAGCAGAAAAACACCCCCAAAGCATAATGTTTCCACTTCCATGTTTGACGGTGGGGATGGTGTTCTTGGGGTCATAGGCAGCATTCCTCCTCCTCCAAACACAGCAAGTTGAGTTGATGCCAAAGAGCTCGATTTTGGTCTCATCTGACCACAACACTTTCACCCAGTTCTCCTCTGAATCATTCAGATGTTCATTGGCAAACTTCAGACGGCCCTGTATATGTGCTTTCTTGAGCAAGGGGACCTTGCGGGCGCTGCAGGATTTCAGTCCTTCATGGCGTAGTGTGTTACCAATTGTTTTCTTGGTGACTATGGTCCCAGCTGCCTTGAGATCATTGACAAGATCCTCCCGTGTAGTTCTGGGCTGATTCCTCACCGTTCTCATGATCATTACAACTCCACGAGGTGAGATCTTGTATGGAGCCCCAGGCCGAGGGAGATTGACAGTGCTTTTGTGTTTCTTCCATTTGCGAATAATCGCACCAACTGTTGTCACCTTCTCACCAAGCTGCTTGGCGATGGACTTGTAGCCCATTCCAGCCTTGTGTAGGTCTACAATCTTGTACCTGACATCCTTGGAGAGCTCTTTGGTCTTGGCCATGGTGGAGAGTTTGTAATCTGATTGATTGATTGCTTCTATGGACAGTTGTCTTTTATACAGGTAACAAGCTGAGATTATGAGCACTCCCTTTAAGAGTGTGCTCCTACTCTCAGCTCGTTACCTGTATAAAAGACACCTGAGAGCCAGAAATCTTTCTGATTGAGAGGGGGTATAATACTTATTTATAATATATAATATAATATGCCATTTAGCAGACGCTTTTATCCAAAGCGACTTACAGTCATGCGTGCATACATTTTGTTTTTGTGTATGGGTGGTCCCGGGGATCGAACCCACTACCTTGGCGTTACAAGCGCCGTGCTCTACCAGCTGAGCTACAGAGGACCACATACACACATATACATATCCTTTTTAAAAAATATATTTCCCTTTATTACTTTCCAACCCACTACCCCTTCCCTAATTGGAGTAAACTAGTGAACAACAATGCTTAGGCCTCTACTTCCAGCTTATACATAACTATATACATTTTATGGACACAGTCAATTTGACAATAATTTTATTTTATTTGTTTTTACTCCTCAACTTCCTCTACCTCTCCGATCATTTTCATGATGTCCATCCGGTTTGCTTCTATATGCCATATCTTTCTAACTGTGGTCTTTCACAAAAGCTCTCAACCTATAACCTATATACTTATTATGGACACAGTATGCTTTACATTAGTTATCTTCTTGTTGTTAGTTGTTATTAGTCCCATCCTTCAACTCCATTCAACACCACCCATCTATCTCTTAACACCATCCATATTGGATTTCTATTTGCCATATATTTTTCAACTGTACTGTGATGTTTTACAAAAGTTCTGAACCTTTCTATTCTCATTGTTTCTACAGATTGTAAATTGAAAATAAACATTTTTGCTAAAGTATTATTATATTATTGATCGATTGACTATGACTTTTCAGATCACCCAGTAGTGCTATCTGCAGGGTTAGCTCCAGGTAAATATTGCAATCCTTTAGCCATTCCTGGACCTGTGTCCAAAAACAAGCTACAAATGGACAGTACCAAAACAAATGATCTAATGATTCTGTCTCTTCGCAGCAAAATCTGCAGAGCTGGGAAGATTGTATCCCCCATATAAATAACATTCTATTGGTAGCAAGAATTGTATATATCAATTTAAATAGAAAAATTGAAAGTTTTGAATCCGGCGTCTTTTGCCTATCAGTTCATAAACACTATGCCATGGAATCGGTTCGTCAAAAATCTCTTCCCAACTATTTTGCAATCTATATGGGACGGCTGTCATCCTTTGGTCCTTAAATGAAACTGGTATACTTTTTTATTTATCAAATTTTTTTCACAAATTTGGTCAAAACATAATGGTTTTTTATCAATTAGTATATTTGAGTTTAACCACAATATTTGTTGCATTATTTGTTCTGTCGTTTCTGGAGGACTAAATTGAAATTGCAACCAACTATCTATGGCTTATTTTACAAATAGTGATATTTGGGAGATTCTCTCCTTTTCAAATAACTGAAAGTGAGAGGTTGTAATCTGAATAAAGGGAAAAAGGCCATTCTTGAACATTGGGTGAGACAATCTTACTAATTTGCTAGAGAACCAGTTTGGATTTAAGTATAACTTTTTAATGACTGAAGCTTTTAGCTTTAATATTTAATAATATCTGTCCTCCGAATTCATATTCATTATATAAATAGACCCGTTTAATTTTGTCTGGCTTGCCGTTCCAAATCAAATGGAATATTTTTTTCTCATATAATTTAAAAACTGTTCGCTAGGCGTAGGCAAGACAATAAGCAAATGGGTAAACTGGGATAATACTAAAGAGTTAATCAGGTAGCCTATTCAGTGACAATAGACCCTGCTTTACTGAAGTTGCGAGACATTGTAAACCAAGAAATTGCAAGATACAGCATTTCGATAAATAGGCCTAGTGCACAAACTGCCTATACTGTGCCCCTCCCCTCTCTCTCCATCCGTCCCTCGCTAGCTTGCTATGAAAGATGCGAGTGTTTGTGTTCTCAGAAGTACAGAAAATAATCAGTCTCCTCCGTTCCAAAAATGCTGAATCTTAGGAGTCGATTTGTAGTGGATTCGAATCTTGACACCCAGAAATGGGAGTCGACACCGGGAGTCGACATGCAAGGAGTCGAGGAATCAATTATTTTGGAGTCGACCCCCACTACGTCATTGTCGTTAACAGTTGGAAAAATGGCAGAGAAAGGCAACAGACAGCAGCTAAGTCCTGTATGGCAATACTTTGAGTGTTAAATGAGAAGGAAATGCAAACTTTGCGAGGTGGAATTGAGGTACAGTAATGATAGTACATGTACAATGCTTATCCATCTGAAAGGGACGCACCATGAGACCCAAACAGTTTCTGGCAGCAGCACAGCTGCATTGTGAATTCACATGTCATTTTATGAAATGTTATCGTTTTAATGGAAAACAGATTTTTAAAAATGGCAGTTTAAACATAAAGAAACATTTTTGATTTGTCACATCCCTAGTTGCGTTGCATGAATAGGATGAAGATGAAAACACACTTTAGTGCTTGGTTAATACAGTATGGATAAGCATGGCATGGGGAGAAGCGATAGAGATGTGTGTGTGTGAGTGATGGTCCAGTCACCTGAGTGCTAGGTGTTCTCCTGACCCAGTTGACGCTGCGAGGGAGGGGCTGTTTCTCTATGGCACAGCTGCAGCCCAAGGCCTGGAGCGACGTCAGCAGAGTGCCCCCACCTTCCAACTGCAACAGACCTACACACACACACACACACACAAATACACATAATTGCGCATACGTAGGCACACATACACACACACACATAAGCACACGCACGCACATATGGTGGAAACTGGGAACTACAAAATCCTCTGTGTAGCCCTTGCTTACACCTATTCAATGCTTTTAAATCCATGAGGGCAAGACCGTGAGCAAGTGCACACTCCGGGGAGAAAGGTAGGGAATCGAAACACAGCCACTGCCTCTCTTCAACCCACCTGGATCCACAGATACCACTATGTGTTTGATACACTCCTCTGGTCGCAGTGCTTTCACAGCCTCCGCCAGGGCCTTCTTCTCCGCCTTCTGCCTCTCCTGCTGCAGCATCCGCGCCTCCTTGTCCCCCTGCTGCCTCTCCCTGGCCTCCCTCCTCCTCAGCGCCTCCTCCCTGGACCCCTGGTTCTCCTCAGCATTCCTCTTGGAGGGCTTCCTCTTGGCAGGGGAGGTAGTGTTCCCAGCCCAGGAGGAGGGCTTTGGCGGGGGCCACAGCTGAGGGAGAGCTGCCTCCTCTGGGTCATCCCAGTCTGGTCCCCCACCTTTCTCCATCCTACGATGACCGTTTAGGGTCTTGTATGAGGTGAATAGAGGTTCGGACTCTGAGTGACCATTCGGTGCCAACCGGCCTAAACCACCAGGAGGGTCAGGTGAGGAGTGATGGTTGTCCTGTCCATTACTGAGAGTGGACGATGCAGGCTCCACACCCTCCTGTCTCTGTTTGAGTCTCAGCGCCAGGGGGATATAGGGAACCTCCGCTTCCTCATCATCACTACTGATCATCATAACATCAGCCACCCCTATGGGGATGTCTGTATGAGAGCTGTCCGGGACCACCAGGTCTGGTTGATCTGTGTGGCTCTGGAAGGCTTGGCTCAGGCTACGGTCGGGCTGGAGGAAGTCATACACAGGGAGATCCTCGTCCAGGTCACTGGTGGAGTCACTGTAGCTGCCCATGGTGGGTCCAGTCTCAGACAGTCGAGACTGACTGTGGATGGACAAAGCAGGTTAAAATCAGAACCATGGTGTTATGTTGGCGGCGCCATTGCATTCTGTATGGTTGCCACTATTAATTATGTTCCATCCAGAATGATAACATACATATTTAATGTACAATCTATTGCATTCTATTTGAGTAGGCCTAAGTAGGCTAAAGATTATCTATATTGGCCTCCCTCTCTGGCCATACTAGCCTAGAGAGACCGCTAGTGGGTGCTGTTCTTCTGACGTTGTAGTTCCGCTCTTGGTCATCTTCAACCTAGGTTCCGCTTAGTGTACAATGTCAGGAAGAACAGTGCCCAATGGATAGAGGAGGTGAACCAAGAAGAGTAGTAATATGTTCAGATTCTGCATCGGTTTTGTGTAGTTTAAAATCAGGGAAGTCAGAATGTGAGGATTTATGGATAGAAGTAATGACGATGCTGTTAGGGTTACAAATAAATGGGATAGAGGTTCAGTTTCGTTGGATCCCTGCTCATACAGGAGTCAATGGAAATTATATAGTAGATATAATAGCAAAGAAAGCAGTGAAAAATTATTTTGTGGATATACAGGTGCAATTAGGGAGAGGAGAGGTTAAAACATTAATCTGAAAGTTTAGGTTAGATTGCTGGCAGAGGAAAATATAGTAAAAGGAAATCTGTACGAGAAATTGGGTCTTGTAATGGGAACAGAAGAGAATAAGTAATGTTGTCCCCCCAAAAAATGGCGAGTTAAAAACAACCCAATTTGGATAAATATTGGACAGAACACACGTTGGGTTATTTTGACCCAGCCAGTTGGGTCACTTAGTTTGCTTGTTGGGTTATTGATGCTGGGCTATTGAGCTATGACCCACCGGGTTAGATCAGAAGACTGGAGGAGTGGCTTAATAGGGGCATGGCTTTCAGATCATTCTTGTTGGCCACCCGAGAGAGTCAATGTCATTCCGGTTCATCTGTTCTGTTGTATTGTCATCTGTATGTTAAGGTTGTTTTTTAAAGCATTTTCTATAGAGTGTAGGATTAGGGCATACGGGATTGAATTATTTGAAATTAGTAGGGAAGCATGTTACTGGAATGTGTGATGGGTGTATGGTGGAAGAAACGGATGAACGTGTTGTATTATATTGTCAATTGTATGGGAGAGTTTGACAGGGTCAGAGGCTGGACGGGGATGGGGTTTGGGTGGGGGGGATGGGATGGGAGTAGTGAGGTTTGTAGAGGATATAGATTAATAGGAAGGCAGTGACTGGCCTCACACTCCAGTGGCTTCAAAGCCTCTCACTGGCCAAAACATAGCATCAGCAATTCCAGGGTTTATATCAGGGTTCCCCAAATGGTGGCCCGCAGGCGGTTTTATTTGGCCCCCCCAAGTTTTCTGAGCAATAATACTTTTTTTAAGACTAAACACACCAGGAAATCAGCTCCAGGTGATTTTAATTTTGGAAATCTGTTCCCAAGTATTCCTATGCATAATAGAGAGACACGTTATCGTATGCAAATGTAAGCAAGATTTGAAATGACTATGTTTTAGTGAAATATTATATCTGTTTGGGCTTGCGGGTCAATTTGCAAGTCTACAAATGATTTAGGTCAATTTGCAGTCTACAAATGATTTATAATTATGTCCCGGCCCCCAGACCATCTGCTCAAGAAAAAATCGTCCCGCGGCTGAATCTAGTTGATAAACCCTGACCTACATGTTTCAAGCAGACCATTATAGTCCCTCTGCCTAAGAACGCCAAGGTAACCTGTCTAAATGACTATTGCCCCGTAGCACTCACATTGCCCCAACAGATGACACAATCTCTATTGCACTCCAGACTGTCCTTTCCCACTTGGACAAAAGGAAGACCTACGTGAGAATGCTCTTCATTAACTATAGCTCAGAGTTCAACACTATAGTGCCCTCCAAGCTCATCAGTAAACTAAGGACCCTGGGACTGAACACCTCCCTCTGCAACTGGATCCTGGACTTCCTGACGGGACACCCCCCAGGTGGTGAGGGTAGACAACAACACATCCACCACACTGACCCTCAACACAGGGGCCCCTCAGGGGTGCGTGCTTAGTCCCCTCTTGTCCTCCCTGTTCACCCACAACTGCACGACTCCAACACCATCATGAAGTTTGCCGATGACACGACGGTGGTTGGCCTGATCACCGACGATGATGAGACAGCCTATAGGGAGGAAGTCTGAGACCTGGCAATGTGGTACCAGGACAACAACCTCTCCCTCAGCGTCAGCAGGACAAAGGAGCTGATCGTGGACTATAGGAAACGGAGGGCCAAACATGCCCCCATTCACGTCGACAGGGCTGTAGTGGAGCGGGTCAAGAGCTACAAGTTCGTCGGTGTCCACATCACAAAGGATCTATCATGGTCCAAACTAGGGCTGGGCGGTATACCATATTTTACAATATACCAGTATTGATGCACGGACTGGTTTGGGTTTTTACTTTACCTTCCATAACAGAATTTGAATGTTTGGTTTGTTAAATGTGATACCCCGTCTGTAGTGTCAATTTTTATAGTTTACTCCGCTACTTTAGTCATCTCTCTCCGCTCTCTCTGTCTCCATGCCGCTTTTCACACAGACCTAGCCCCATCCCCTGTCACTCAAGGAGCACATTTGTTGTTGCTTGACCACGAGACACCTGCGTTCAGTCTGCATGGTCAATGCATGACAACGATGCTGTTTTCACTTTGCTTCTTAATATAAATCCACTAGTGTTCTATACTTACACTATTAGTTTGTGTTTCTTACATCTGCAAAAGGCTAGTTTATCTTTCTTAGCATATTGGGCCTAAATCGTGTTAGCCGCTAATGCTAATTGCTAGTTAGCTGGCTAGCTAGCTAGCTAATAAATATACTGAGTCAGGGCAAATGTAACTAGCTTTAAAGCCTGATAATACCAGTGATGGTTTAGACCTAAATCAGCATGTTGTTTGTGCAACAGTATCTTCTAACTCAAAGAGGAATATGCGAAGCATGAATATGTTAGCTACATGTAGTAGCTAAGAGAAAACATTCAATGTAGCCAAAGATTATAGGGTCACCTAGGAAACACTTATCAACACTGGCGTTTTCATTCATTGTCATGTCAAACAAAGTGCCCACTATTATATTCTACATTTAGAATTAGAATAATCATTCTATTTCCATGATTCCAACAGTTCACCTGTCAAATCGCAATTGCAACATTTGATTAAAAATAAGGCCTAGATTGTTTGCCCATATTGTGCAGCCCTACGTGGCAGTGTGGAAATGATCTCAAATCAGTGCAGTAAATGCAGAAATTTATGAAAATGCTTAAAATTACTTTTTGGTTGAAGTTGAATTGAACAGTATAAAACAATCAGAATGGAGAAAGACCCATTGAAATCACTTAGAATGTATGTGTTGCCAGCCTAGGGTCACGCACTACTCATAAATAAAATGTAGAACTTTTATTATTTAAAAAAACAAACATGAAATACTATCAAATACCATCATCCCATCAACATTTTTAAAAATACAGTGATATGATATTTTGGCCATATCGCACAGCCCTAGTCCAAACACACCAACACAGTCATGAAAAGGGCACGACAATGCCTCTTCCCCCTCAGGAGGCTGAAAAGATTTGGCATGGGCCCTCAGATCCTCAAAAAGATCTAAAGCTGCACCATTGAGAGCATCTTGACTGGCTCCATCACCGCTTGGTATGGCAACTGCTTGGCATCTGACCCAAAGGCACTACAGAGGGTAGAGCAGGGATGGGCAACTCCAGTCCTCGGGGGCCTGATTCGTGTCACACTTTTGTCCCAGCCCCAGCTAACACATCTGACTCCAATAATCAACTAATCATGATCTTCAGTTTAGAATACTAGGTGGTGTCAGAGGAAGGCCCCACCCTTGCCTTTTTGGCTGATCCATTTGTGGTTTCAGGATGGGTGAAAAAAGCGTTGGGTATAGTGGAATCGGTGAGGGTAACCATAAGTGGTCTTTGAAGTTGAGCCTTTGCCTGACAAAGTGAAGTTAGGATATATAAGTTATCCTGTACGAGCTGATGTGCCGAATACATTACGATGTTACAGGTGTCAAACTTATGGGCATGTGGCAGCAGTGTGTAGGAAGGAGGTTCCAAGGTGTGAGAAGTGTGCAGAAGGGCATGAGACAAAGGAATCTGTAGCATTGGGGAAAGTAGTGGTATGTGCTAATTGTAGGGGTGCCCATGGGGCTGGGGATCAGAAATGTCCCGTGCGAGAGAGGCAGGTTGAGGTTTCCAGGGTAAGAGTAGTGAAGAAGTTGTCATATGCTGAGGCAGTGAAGAAAGTAGAGGAAGATGGGTCAAGGGGGAGGAGTGGTGAGAGTAGTAGATACAGTTGAAGTCGGAAGTTTACATACACCTTAGCCAAATACATTTAAACTCAGTTTTTCACAATTCCTGACATTTAATCCTAGTAAAAATTCCCTGTCTTAGGAAAGTTAGGATCACCACTTTATTTTAAGAATGTGAAATGTCAGAATAATAGTAGAGAGAAGTCTCCTGAGTGGCGCAGTGGTCTAAGACACTGCATCGCAGTGCTAACTGTGCCACTAGAGATCCTGGTTCGAATCCAGGCTCTGTCGCAGCCGGCCGCGACCGGGAGACTCATGGGCAGCGCACAATTGGCCCAGGGTAGGGGAGGGAATGGCCGGCAGGGATGTAGCTCAGTTGATAGAGCATGGCGTTTGCACCGCCAGGGTTGTGGGTTCGTTTCCCACGGGGGGCCAGTATAAAAAATATATATATATGTATTCACTAACTGTAAGTCGCTCTGGATAAGAGCGTTTGCTAAATGATGTAATTAATTTAAGCTTTTATTTATTTCATCATATTCCCATTGGGTCAGAAGTTTACATACACTATTAGTATTTGGTAGCATTGCCTTTAAATTGTTTAACTTGGGTCAAATGTTTTGGGTAGCCTTCCACAAACTTCCCACAATAAGTTGGGTGCATTTGGCCCATTCCTCCTGACAGAGCTGGTGTAACTGAGTCAGGTTTGTAGGCCTCCTTGCTCGCACACGCTTTTTCAGTTCTGCCCACAAATGTTCTATAGGATTGAGGTCAGGGCTTTGTGATGGCCACTCCAATACCTTGACTTTGTTGTCTTTAAGCCATTTTGACAACTTTGGAAGCATGATTGGGGTCATTGTCCATTTGGAAGACCCATTTGCGACCAAGCTTTAACTTCCTGACTGATGTCTTGAGATGTTGCTTCAATATATCCACATAATTTTCCTTCCTCATGATGCCATCTATTTTGTGAAATGCACCAGTCCCTACTGCAGCAAAGCACCCCCACAGCATGATGCTACCACCCCCGTGCTTCAAGGTTGGGATGGTGTTCTTCGGCTTGCAAGCGACACCCTTTTTCCTCCAAACATAACGATGGTCATTATGGCCAAACAGTTCTATTTTTGTTTCATCAGACCAGAGGACATTTCTCCAAAAAGTACGATCTTTGTCCCCATGTGCAGTTGCAAACTGTAGTCTGGCTTTTTTATGGCGGTTTTGGAGCAGTGGCTTCTTCCTTGCTGAGCGGTCTTTCAGGTTATGTCGATATAGGACTCGTTTTGCTGTGGATATAGATACTTTTGTACCTGTTTCCTCCAGCATCTTCACAAGGTCCTTTGCTGTTGCTCTGGGATTGATTTGCACTTTTCGCACCAAAGTACGTTCATCTCTAGGAGACAGAACGCGTCTCCTTCCTGAGCAGTATGATGGCTGCGTGGTCCCACAGTGTTTATACTTGCGTACTATTGTTTGTACAGATGAATGTGATACCTTCAGGCGTTTGGAAATTGCTCCCAAGGATGAACCAGACTTGTGGAGGTCTACAATTTTTTTTCTGAGGTATTGGCTGATTTCTTTTGATTTTCCCATGATGTCAAGCAAGGAGGCACTGAGTTTGAAGGTAGGCCTTGAAATACATCCACAGGTACACCTCCAATTGACTCAAATGATGTCAATTAGCCTATCAGAAGCTTCTAAAGCCATGACATCATTTTCTGGAATTTTCCAAGCTGTTTAAAGGCACAGTCAACTTAGTGTATGTAAACTTCTGACCCACTGGAATTGTGATACAGTGAATTATAATTGAAATAATCTGTCTGTAAACAATTGTTGGAAAAATTACTTGTGTCATGCGCAAAGTAGATGTCCTAACCAACTTGCCAAAACTATAGTTTGTTAACAAGAAATGTGTGGGTGGTTGAAAAACAAGTTTTAATGTCTCCAACCTAAGTGTATGTAAACTTCTGACTTCAACTGTATGTACCAGTACAGAGGGATAGGCCAACAAGTTATATATGTTTCAGTAAGATTGGACTTTTAGCATTTATAGCAATGGTTATTAATTGTACTGCAGGGATGGAACGTAAGTCGAATAAAATTGAGGTTTTGGTGGCAGCTGCAGAGAGGTATTTGGGTGTGCGAGACTTTACATCAGAAGAGTTACAGGGAGTTTTAAGTGGTGATGTCCCATCATTTCAGGTTGAGGACATGAGGTAGGAATTAATATATTTAAATAGTGAAGTAGGGTGGTGTTAATTATTAATAATATTTTTGAATTTGTGAGTGTAGTGTTAGATGGTAGGGTATTTCTTTATTTTATTTTTCAAGCAAAATATAAGGGAGTTGTACTCCAGTCTAGTAGGTGGCGGTAATGCAACAAATTGGATGCCAACCGCGGTTAAACCTCATTGAAGAAGAGGAAGGCCCCAACAATTGGCAAAGACTCCAGCCATAGACTGTTCTCGCTACTACGGCACGGCAAGCAGTACCTACGCACCAAGTCTGGAACCAACAGGACCCTGACCAGCTTCTACCCCCAATCCATAAGACTGCTAAATAGTTAGTTAACCAAATAGTTACCCGGACTATCTGCATTGACCCCTTTTTACACTAACTTTGACTCATCCCATACGCTGCTGCTACTATCTGGTTTATAGACATAATTGGTCGGAGAACGTCTCTGTTGCCGCGTATACCGTATCAATCCTGCTGCCAGCAGGTCAAACGAAAGATTGAACGAGTCACTGAGAAAAACAAATCATGACTCGTCAGTAAAAAGAGTCGTTCAAAAAGAACGAATCGTTTGCGTACTGCCCAATGTGCCTGCTAGCTACTACTTGCTAGCTTCATTGACATTCATTGTTTCAACAGAGTTAGAACTTAGCTAGCAAGTGATTTTGGGCACTGATAAACAAACAGCGTGTAGCTTGAGGTTTATTTACGATAGTTTGCAAAAGATGAAGTTATTTTGCAAATCAGTCCTGAGCCACCGGCCAGACTTTCCCGACTCGGTAGACTATGCAGTGCACTTACTACTTTTACTTGAGAAATACTGCACAGTAAAGCTACAGTTAACGTGTAAACAATTATAGTAACAGTAACATTCGAGGCCTATAGTCTGGGGCTGGGTTAATGTCATACTATTACATTTAGCTAGCTACTGTAGCTAATAAATGTTGTCGAGGCTAGTTAGCTAACTAACGTTTAGCTACCAATACAACGTTAATATCTAACGTCGTTATCTTTCAAATTAATTGAAAATAACTATCTACTCACGTTCTTGTAGAAGGTGTTCAATATTTTATTTTCACGACAACAAAAATAATTTCGCAAACTGTCTAGCTATTGCTCTTGCTAGCCATTGCAATTTTGGATTTCCATAACCGTTTTAGGTTAGACAAAAGGGTCGTCACTAGTTACCGCAGCCACAATTATGGTTAAACCCCGCCTATTTCTACAATTTCTCTTTTTAACAATTTATTTTAAACCTAAACCACACTGGCAACCTTATGCCAAAACCTAATCTTTAATTAAGACCAAAAAGTTCATTTTAGTGTAAGAGTTTTTCCGATCTAGCCAATTTTGACTTTATGGCTGTGGTTACTAGTGACAAGCGGTCACTAGTTCAGATTTTGATGTGACACAACGTTGACGTGTTGATGTCACGTGATCCAACATGGCGGCGCTCGCGTTCTTGAGGTACAAGTCCAGAGCAGGTAAAATATACACATTATCATTTATTTGCGTTAATTCAAACCGCTCTATAAAACACACACTTCAATTTAGACTAATATACGCCAATGACGCTTATTTATTGTGAAGTTACCCAGCCGGATAACGTGTTTTTGAAGCTAGCTGGCATGGCATTAGTCACTTTCTCGTGCCTTCTGCATAGTTTAACTAAATATTTTTTATATACGTGAATCCTGTGATGACCCTGTATCTACAAATCTTTTAAAAACCCTGTTCTAGCTGTGTGTTTGAAATGTGGCGCCTCTATCACCAAATGTACAATCCAAAAATATAGCTGCCCCACTACATGGAGTTCTATGGCTAAGCTTCCAACATTCTAATGTCAATGGCAGAATGTGGGTTATTTTTAAACAATAGTTATAGCTGGTGCTTTCAAAGTTGGTTATATTATATATAATTTGAAAGGTAATTTAATGACCTTTCAGAACCACTTGTCAAACAAAGATTAAAGTGTATCAGAGTTTCCATTGTTGAAGCAATTTATACAGGTAATTCTGATATGTACCCAAGAGGTACATTTGCCAGTGGTGTACCAAGTGAAAACTACTGGCCCGAAGGAGAGTATTACTGGCCCGGGCCAAGATCACAGGAAAGCAAGTTCTGCACACAGAATTTCAATCATGGGTGATTTCAGGTTTCATTTGCAGTCTGGGCAAGTAACTTATAGCCAACCATGCAATCAGGTATTTAAACCGATTGTTTGGAAAACTAAAACAACAGGTTTTTAGAAATGTTTGCAAATTTATAAAAAATTAAACTGAAATATCACATTTACATAAGTATTCAGACCCTTTACTCAGTACTTTGTTGAAGCACCTTTGGCAGCGATTACAGCCTTCAGTCTTCATGGGGCTGGCCCCCCTTGAAGTCATGCTTTAGAAATGTTTGCACATTTATTGAAAATGAAATACAGAAATATCTCATTTGCATAAGTATTCACATCCCTGAGTCAATACATACAGTGCATTCGGAAAGTATTCAGACCCTTTGACTTTTTCCACTGTTACGTTACAGCCTTATTCTAAAATGGATTAAATAAAATAAAAAATCCTCAATCTACACACAACACCCCATAATCACAAAGCGAAAAACAGGTTTGTAGAATTTCTTGCTAATGTATAAATATGTATTTTTTAAATACCTAATTTACATAAGTACTCAGACCCTTTACTATGAGACTCGAAATTGAGCTCAGGTGCATCCTGTTTCCATTGATCATCCATGAAATGTTTCTACAACTTAATTGGAGTCCACCTGTGGCAAATTCAATTGATTGGACATGATTTGGAAAGGCACACACCTGTCTAGATAAGGTCCTACAATTGACAGTGCATGTCAGAGCAAGAACCAAGCCATGAGGTCAAAGGAATTTCCTGTGGAGCTCTGAGACAGGATTGTGTCGAGGCACAGATCTGGGGAAGGGTACCAAAAAATCTCTGCAGCATTGAAGGTCCCCAAGAACACAGTGGCCTCCATCATTCTTAAATGGAAGAAGTTTAGATCCACCAAGACTCTTCCTAAAGCTGGCCACACTGAGCAATCAGGTGAGAAGGGCCTTAGTCAGGGAGGTGACCATAACCCGATGGTCACTCTGACAGAGCTTCAAAGCAAATCAAATGTTATTTGCCACAAACGTCCTTTGTCTGTCATGAATGTTGATACAAATTATATTGGAACTTACTCTACCAATTGTCTGTGGGGTTGGTTCATAATAGGGTGGAATTTTAGACAACCTTTCCAAAGGAACGTATTATTAAAGACTTTCTGTTGTAGACCCACTTCCTCTCTGCTTTCCTCATGTCGAAATAAAAGTCCCCCACAGGTTATTGCTTGTTTGTGCACATATGGCGTACGTGCAGGACTTTTATTTCGACATGAGGAAAGCAGCGAGGAAGTGGGTCTACAACAGATCCATGTTTGGAAAGTCTGTTTTATAAAATGTTCCTTTGGATATTTTGTCTCATTCCACCCTATATAAGAACCAACACTATGGACAATTGGTAGAGTAAGTTCAAATATAATTTAACGTTCGTGACAGACAAGATGTTAGGTTTTCGTTTATGTAATAATGTGTGGCCATGCTGTCCAGGGATTGGATAACATGGTCAAGACAGGACTACGACTGGTGTATCAGGCTACCAGCTACCTACATTGGAAAGAAGTTGCTAACATAGCATGAGCATCACAAATGGCATTCAACAGCCCACTGCCATTATACAAGCCAGACAGTCATTTATCAACTGTTACAATGTTTCCAAACTACAATGTTAACTCAATGAAATCGCAGGTCTTCTGCTTCCTTGCCAGTCGTCTCTTGTGGACTGGGTGCGCTTCGCGTCCAAGAAGGCAGGCGGTAGCAGCAAGAACCTCGGGGGAAAGAGCCCCGGTCGCAGATATGGCTTCAAGAAAACAGACGGTAGCTACGTGAATGCTCTTATTTGTCAGTATGCTATGTTTAGTTCTGACATCTCTGTGAGGTGCATGTTATGTATTTTGATCTTACACATGTTTGCATCGTCTAACTAACACTTCTGTTTTGTTGTCATCTACCTTCAGGGAACTTTGTCCATGCTGGCAACATCCTAGCAACACAGAGGCTCATGCGGTGGCAACCAGGAGCACATGTAAGGTTTCACACTTTCACTCTTAATATCCTGGGGTGTATTCATTAGTTGCATATTGTAGCAAAAGGTTTAGCACCGCAGCTAAATGTTTTGCAACAGAAACACTTTACTCCCAACACAAAACTGTTTGGAAGTTTCTATTGGAAAAATTCAGGTAGGTCCCTCCCTGTCTCGGTTGGTTCATTTACATTATTTAGCAGACGCTCTTATCCAGAGCGACTTACAGGAGCAATTAGGGTTAAGTGCCTTGCTCAAGGGCACATCGACAGATTTTTCACCTAGTTGGCTCGGGGATTAGAACCAGCGACCTTTCGGTTACTGGCACAACGCTCTTAACCACTAAGCTACCGGCTCACTTCTCACAGACTGGCTTACATGCCATGTAATACAGCACCCCTGAGTGGGTATTGTGAATACACCCCTGGAAGCCTTAAAATGTCTGCAGGTCGCCGGTTGATTGTCAACTAATCTCACACTCTATCCCCCACATCTCTCTCTCAGGTGGGGATTGGAACCAACAACACCCTGTATGCCCTGGAGGATGGCATTGTCAGGTTCACTAAGGAGGTGTATGTTCCAGCCCCACGCAGCCCTGAGACCTTCAAGGTCATCACCAAGCTGCCCACAGGAACTGTGCTCTACAAGACCTTCATCAATGTAGTGCCCAACAAACAGGAGGGCAAATTCAAACTGGTTGGCATGTTCTAAAGATGGATAACTCATTCATATTCCACTCTGTGGAAGCTCACCCTACTCTTTCTATGGACTTAGTGGTTTGGATTGAAAGGTTCTGTTCAACCGCAAACTCCTTTGTTGTGAATGTTGTGTAACTGAGCCGCTGTGTGGTGAGGAGGATTCTGGAAATTCTGAGGGAATTCCTCAAAGCTTCCTGTTTTGCCATAACGTCATCGATCCTGCACAATGTGACTGGTCGAAAGTTTAATCAAAAGGCACCTACCTGACTTATTGTGCTGTAAGAAGACGTGTCACTCCATCCATTAAAGTTTTATATATAATCAAGACATCAGCAGTCTGTTGTTGCCATTGTAAGCTTAGTCAATGGAACAATTTAATGTGTATTTAATTGTTGGGAATATTTTAGGATCATCTGGGTGGAAAAAACTAATATGTATGGTTGACAAGGAACACATGAAACCACCCCTTGTAAAACATAACCTACAAAGCAGAGGGAAGTAATATATCACAGTTTTTAGCATCAGACTGTACTCTAAAGAACTCTCCTTAACAATTTACTCACAGACCCATGTGGTCTCTTAAAGCCAACTACCTCTTTCACATAATTTTGTGTTGATGACACCGGTTCAAAGGACGTTGGGTGTTGACTTGTAACCATTAACTCAAATTTGTATCTGGGAATTTTGTGTAAACTCATTGACAATCCGTTTCTACCAGGATTGACCCATTTTAGAGAATAATAAGAAACTCCAAATAGACATGGCAGGATGTGTGTAGTATGCCCCAAACATTTTACAGATCATACTTTACTCAGAGAGTGAGTAAGGTGCCATGTTTTTTTTAGTGGTTTTTTTTAGAGTATGAGTTACAGATAGCATGAATGGTATTTTAACTCCTCTCCTAGTGGTATGCAGGGGAGTGTGGAGTGCATTCAGAATACCCTGGTACCTTCACCATGAAACGACAGCTTGTCAAAACATGTATGATGGAGGCCCTCTCGAATAACTGATGAGTGCTGTTGTTGTGTTATGAGAGTTGATAGGGGAGGATAATGTACAGTACATGAGAGTTGGGGGGAAAGGAACACTGCAAAGAGCGAGAGGTCAAAATTAGGTTGCAACGCCCTCCACTGACTCACTATCTAGGTTATGGACATATTTGTACCTTGTAGAGAAAAACAGATGAACAGAAACAGGAGCGTATTCCCTTTTGATATCTTGACACTAAGGTTTATATCAATCCTCATCAGATTGATATAGGTCAAGGTAATACAAATCTGAAGTTTCTTTTAAAGCGCATACAGTGAGGGAAAAATATATTTGATCCCCTGCTGATTTTGTACGTTTGCCCACTGACAAAGAAATGATCAGTCTATAATTTTAATGGTAGGCTTATTTGAACAGTGAGATACAGAATAACAACAAAAAATTCCAGAAAAATGCATGTAAAAAATGTTATAGATTAATTTGCATTTTAATGAGGGAAATAAGTATTTGACCCCTCTGCAAAACATGATTTAGTATTTGGTGGCAAAACCCTTGTTGGCAATCACAGAGGTCAGACGTTTCTTGTAGTTGGCCATCAGGTTTGCACACATCTCAGGAGGGATTTTGTCCCACTCCTCTTTGCAGATCTTCTCCAAGTCATTAAGGTTTCGAACATGACGTTTGGCAACTCGAACCTTCAGCTCCCTCCACATATTTTCTATGGGATTAAGGTCTGGAGACTGGCTTGGCCACTCCAGGACCATAATGTGCTTATTCTTGAGCCACTCCTTTGTTGCCTTGGCCGTGTGTTTTGGGTCATTGTCATGCTGGAATACCCATCCATGACCCATTTTCCATGCCCTGGCTGAGGGAAGGAGGTTCTCACCCAAGATTTGACGGTACATGGCGCCGTCCAACGTCCCTTTGATGCGGTGAAGTTGTCCTATCCCCTTAGCAGAAAAACACCCCCAAAGCATAATGTTTCCACCTCCATATTTGACGGTGGGGATGGTGTTCTTGGGGTCATAGGCAGCATTCCTCCTCCTCCAAACACGGCGAATTGAGTTGATGCCAAAGAGCTCCATTTTGGTCTCATCTGACCACAACACTTTCACCCAGTTCTCCTCTGAATCATTCAGATGTTCATTGGCAAACTTCAGACGGGCATGTATTTGCTTTCTTGAGCAGGGGGACCTTGCGGGCACTGCAGGATTTCAGTCCTTCACGGCGTAGTGTGTTACCAATTGTTTTCTTGGTGACTATGGTCCCAGCTGCCTTGAGATCATTGACAAGATCCTCCTGTGTAGTTCTGGGCTGATTCCTCACCGTTCTCATGATCATTACAACTCCACGAGGTGAAATCTTGCATGGAGCCCCAGGCCGAGGGAGATTGACAGTTGTTTTGTGTTTCTTCCATTTGCGAATAATCGCACCAAGGGGTTGTCACCTTCTCACCAAGCTGCTTGGCGATGGTCTTGTAGCCCATTCCAGCCTTGTGTAGGTCTACAATCTTGTCCCTGACATCCTTGGAGAGCTCTTTGGTCTTAGCCATGGTGGAGAGTTTGGAATCTGATTGATTGATTGCTTCTGTGGACAGGTGTCTTTTATACAGGTAACAAACTGAGATTAGGAGCACTCCCTTTAAGAGGGTGCTCCTAATCTCAGCTCGTTACCTGTATAAAAGACACCTGGGAGCCAGAAATCTTTCTGATTGAGAGGGGGTCAAATACTTATTTCCCTCATTAAAATGCAAATCAATTTATAAAATTTTTGACATGCGTTTTTCTGGATTTGTTTGTTGTTATTCTGTCTCTCACTTTTTTCCCTCACTGTAGGTAATTTAAGCGCATAGTTCAGCTATTTAATTTAAGCGCATAGGTAATTTAAGCGCATAGTTTAACTATTTAACTATTACTTTCACTTATTTTTGGTTTGATTTGGGTCGGACTTAATATGAATGTTTTGCATAGTTACGTATCTCAGTCTAAAAACACATTGACAAACCCATTCCAGTTTTGCCCAGAAGGTAAAACTTCAGGGTCGATGTGCGTTTCTCTGCATAGTTAGTTTGACCTGGTTAACCGTCTCTGAGTGAACACACTTTGATTGCGTCCCAAATGGCACACTATTCCCTATGTAGTGCACTACTTTTAACAATTAGGGTGCCATTTGGAACAAAGACATTGTCTGTCTCAGTAATGTTAATCATTTGTGATGCGTTCAACCACAACAGCTCTCTGGTCTGGCCCTACACTCAAAGCCATCAGCACACGTTGTGTATTCATAGCTCAGTGTTCTTTTGTAACGAGGGGTTTTGGATTTTTCATTAACATGTTCAACCCGGGACAATGTCATTGTTTTGTGGTTGTCTACGACTTTGGACGTTGTGTTGACGCATCAGATGTCTGCTGCTGCTGAGGTGTGGATGTCATCTTTCCACACACTGGAGCACTGGAGTTTGAAATTTAGGCTTATTTGATTATTTAGCTCAGGGGTGTCAAACTCATTTTGCACCAGGGACTGCATTCGGTCTTCACCGAGGTCCAGAGGGGCGCATTTAAAATTGATGATATTTCGTCACCATCATAATGTGCAAAAAATAGTCCTGTGTCAATCACTTTTTGAATTGTTGATGCTCCCTGACTGTCAAGCTTTGGTTTCGATGACTGTTATCAAGCTGGACAGAGTGAAGAGACTATAAAATAATGTCCATTATCATTCCTACACAGTTTAGATTTGGTTTTAGTAATTTCAATGTCGATTGAAGGTTTTTCCCCAGATAATTTGTTTTACTCAAACCACCAGCGGGCCAGTCGCATGTTTAACACCCCTGATATAGCTGATAAAGGATATCATTGTCAGTGGCAGGATATCAAGCCATTTACAGTGTACAGTCATGTTAAAACCACTCACTACACCAACTGACCACAGTCAGAGCTGAGAGCGGTCTCAGGATCACAAACTGAGTGAAACTGAGTCATTCATTATCATGACAATGTCTCTTTCTTTGTTGATTTTTCTTCTTTCCTCTTGCCAATGGTGTGAAAGTGAGTCTGGTTAAAATGCAAAGTTGAGAACCAGTAGTGCTCCGGTCCTCAAGGAGCACCTGGTCTAGACAGAGAGGGATTCCCGGATGGGGCTCTAAATAGGGTGGTGAGGTGAGGGGGCTGCCTCTATTGTCACTGTGTGTTCAAGGCTAGAGGTGGAGAGAGGGAGGTCTGAAGGAAATGTCTCAACAGACTGTAGGTCTTCAGAGGAGATGACCATGGACTGGCGAAAAGTCTCCTCATACGTCGGAGGAGGCTGTAGGCACAGAGACATTTTATGAGATAACATTTACTGTAATAAATGTTCTGAATGAATACATCAACATCCTTCCACAGTTTCATTGATGTAAATGAGAATGTGTTCTTAGTCAACTAATTTATACAGTGTCCAGAACATAGGAGTAACTTACCGCCGTTTCAGACTGTGTGGGGCTGAGACCAAAGCGGTCGGCTATCATGGAGTGGATCTGTCTCTGGCGGTCCTTCTTACGGACGCTCTCGTAGGATGGCAGGCGGGGCAGGGGCCCATCCAGGTGGTAGCTGCTCGGCTTACCGATGATAAACAGCCTCCCTGGAAGCTGCAGACACACATGCAAACATGTTTATATTTTATCACTTTTTCTATTTTTCAAGTGTTGATCTGAACGGTCAAAAGACCAATTAGTGGGAAAAGATCAGAATTGGGCTGCCTGTGTAAATTACAGTGATGAGGTACATCAAAGTCAATATTTTCTCCTGGGTAAAAGGACAACTGAAAACAAATGGCACTGGGCATCAATAACACTGTGAAACCAGCTCAGATGGTTTTTGAACAGAGATTATAATAGAGAAAAATGAATGAATGGATAATATCTCTATGGGTAATACTATGTAAATACAGAGGATTTTTTTCACCTGGGACCCCACATTTCCGTGGGTCATGGCAGCAGTCTGTTCCTCATAGGGATACCCTACTAGAGACTGTCTGATGTTGTACTGGGGTGGAGCGTCCTAGGTAGGGAAAGAAGATAGGCAAGACTGGTTAGTCTGTCTACACTACAGTGGAGAATTGTCTTACATCTTACCGAAGTTCCATCTGTGTAAAATATAGTTATTCTGTTCTATTCTATCTTTACAAGTAATAAGGCTGCAGCAAAAACAAAGACATCAAGTTAAAGTTACTAGGTGATGATTGAGTAACTTGGCTATAGAGCTATGATTAAATTCTTCAAGCCAAATAATATACTCTACTAAACTAAAAATCAGTCTTGATAAGGGCTGTTCTCCTTGTCTGATGCATGTTATGCAACAAAAAAATGATTTACCACACAATGGAAAATGCCCTGTGCCAAATTTTAAAGTTATATCCAACGGTTTCTTTCTGTATCCCTTCTTCATTTCTTATTCCTTTCTTTATCCCTTTTGCGGTCTCATGGATACCTTTCCACTACTGATAACAGTGTATGGATTTTAACATTGTGTACATAATAACACAGCATAATTTCTCATATAATTAACTGATACTGGTTTAACAAGTGTTGAGGTTTTTAATGTAAAATATTGAAATGAATGGAAGGAAGGCAGTGGGAGGCAAATGGGGCTAGAGTATGGCCTGCACTGTAACTGACTAGCATGTGATGCAAAGGAAAAACAGGCATGAAAACTTATCTCAGATGAGTAGCCTATGGTTGAATAGCAAATTATTGTATAGTAACAGAATAATAACAATGTTGTTGATACAACCAACTAAAAGGTCAAATGAGAGTTTAGCTGTGGTTGCATTCTCGATAGGGGAGAGAAATATGGATGCAAAAAGCAGGGGGTATTGATCTTAACCTTTATCAACTGAGTTGTCACTGCTTGCTCTCTCAGGTCTGTATCGTAAGAAATACAGAAACAGAGCCTTACAGGGAAATCTTATTCACGTAAACCTTTTAAAACAGCCATACAGTAGATCCCTTTGTTGATAAGATTGGCCACCCATTGCCTTAGATTAGAAGATGGTCTCATAATACCACCAGACCAATTACATGGTCGGTGTCCCAAATGGCACCCTATTCCCTACATATGTGTGTCTCTTTGTTAACAACAGCTGATGCTCGAGCTCTAATATTAAGGAAGTCTCAAGGTTCTGCTCGCCTGAGTTAGAATACCTCATGATAAGCTGTAGACCATACTATTTACCAAGAGAGTTTTCATCTATATTTTGGTAGCTGTCTATTAACCACCACAAACCGATGAGGGCACTAAGACCTCACTCAATGAGCAGCATAGGGACATAAGCAAACAAGAAAATGCTCATCCAGAGGCAGCGCGCCTAGTGGCCGGTGATTTTAATGCAGGAAAAATGAAATCCGTCATACCTAATTTCTATCAGCATGTCAACTAGATCGATCACCTTTAGTCCACAAACAGAAACGCATACAAAGCTCTCCCTCACCCTCCATTTGGCAAGTGGTCCGATGATGCGGATGCTAAGATACAGGACTGTTTCGCTAGCGCAGACTGGAATATTTTCCGTGATTCATCCGATGGCATTGAGGAGTTTACCACATCAGTCACTGGCTTCATTAATAACTGCATCGATGACCTTGTCCCCACAGTGACCGTACGTACATATCCCAACCAGAAGCCATGGATTACAGGCAACATCCGCACTGAGCCAAGGCTAGAGCTGCCGCTTTCAAGGAGCGGGACACTAATCTGGATGCTTATAAGAAATCCAGCTACGCCCTCCAACAAATCATCAAATAGACAAAGCGTCAACACAGGACCAAGATCGAATCCTACTATACCGGCTCTGACACTCACCGGATGTGGCAGGGCTTGCAAACTATCACAGATAACAAAGGGAAACCCAGCCGCGAGCTGCCCAGTGATGCAAGCCTACCAGACTAGCTAAATGCCTTCTATGCTCGCTTCGAGGCAAGCAACACTGAACCTTGCTTGAGAGCACCAGCTGTTCCGGACGACTGTGTGATCTCGCTCTCCGTAGCCGATGTAAGTAAGACCTTTAAACAGGTTAACATTCACAAGGCCAGACGGATTACCAGGATGCATACTCAGAGCAACTTCTCCCTGACCCAGTCTGTAATACCTACATGTTTCAAGCAGACCACCATAGTCCCTGTGCCCAAGAACGCCAAGGTAACCTGTCTAAATGACTATAATTTAGTAACACTCACATCTGTAGCCATGAAATGATTTGAAAGGTTGGTCATGGCTCACATCAACACCATCATCCCAGACACCCTGGACCCACTCCAATTCACATACCGCCCCAACAAATCCACAGATGATGCATTCTCTATTGCACTCCACACTGCCCTTTCCCATTTATACAAGAGGAACACCTACACTATATTTTACATTTTAGTCATTTAGCAGACGCTCTTATCCAGAGCGACTTACAGTTAGTGAATACATTTTTTTAATTTAAATTTAATTTTTTATACTGGCCCCCCGTGGGAATCAAACCCACAACCCTGGCGTTGCAAACGCCATGCTCTATCAACTGAGCTACATCCCTGCCGGCCATTCCCTCCCCTACCCTGGACGACGCTGGGCCAATTGTGCGCCGCCCATGAGTCTCCCGGTCGCGGCCGGCTGCGACAGAGCCTGGATTCTAACCAGGATATCTAGTGGCACAGTTAGCACTGCGATGCAGTGCCTTAGACCATTGCGCCACTCAGGAGTATATACACTACATGACCAAAAGTATGTGGACACCTGCTCGTCGAACATCTCATTCCAAAATCATGGGCATTAAAATGGAGTTGGTCTCTCCTTTGCTGCTATAACAGCCTCCACTCTTCTGAGAAGGCTTTCCACTAGATGTTGGAACATTGCTGCGGGGACTTGCTTCCATTCAGCCACGAGCATTAGTGAGGTTGGGCACTGATGTTGGGCGATTAGGCCTGGCTCGCACTCGGCGTTCCAATTCATCCCAAAGGTGTTCGATGGGGTTGAGGTCAGGGCTCTGTGCAGGCCAGTCATGTTCTTCCACACTGATCTCGACAAACCATTTCTGTATTGGACCTCCCTTTGTGCACGGGAGCATTGTCATGCCGAAACAGGAAAGGGCCTTCCCGAAACTGTTGCCACAAAGTTGGAAGCACAGAATCGTTTAGAATTTCATTGTATGCTGTAGCATAATATTTACCTTCACTGGAACTAAGGGGTCTAGCCCGAACCATGAAAAACAGCCCCAGACCATTATTCCTCCTCCACCAAACTTTACAGTTGGCACTTTGCATTCGGGCAGGTAGCGTTCTCCTGGCATCTGTCAAACCCAGATTAGTCTGTCGGACTGCCAGATGATGAAGCGTGATTCATCACTCCAGCTTTATACCACTCCAGCCGACGCTTGGCATTGTGCACGGTGATCTTAGGCTTGTGTACGGCTGCTCGGCCATGGAAACCCATTTCATGAAGCTCCCGACGAACAGTTATTGTGCTGACGTTGCTTCCAGAGGCAGTTTAGAACTCGGTAGTGAGTATTGCAACCGAGGACAGGCAATATTTACGCGCTACGCGCTTCAGCACTCGGCGGTGCCGTTCTGTGAGCTTGTGTGGCCTACCACTTCGCGGTTGAGCCGTTGTTGCTCCTAGACATTTCCACTTACATTTACATTTACATTTTAGTCATTTAGCAGACGCTCTTATCCAGAGCGACTTACAGTTAGTGAGTGCATACCTTATTTTTTTTATTTTTCATACCCCCCATGGGAATCGAACCCACAACCCTGGCGTTGCAAACGCCATGCTCTATCAACTGAGCTACATCCCTGCCGGCCATTCCCTCCCCTACCCTGGACGACGCTGGGACAATTGTGCGCCGCCCCATGGGTCTCCCGGTCGCGGCCGGCTACGACAGAGCCTGGATTCGAACCAGGATCTCTAGTGGCACAGTTAGCACTGCAATGCAGTGCCTTAGACCACTGCGCCACTCGGGAGAATATGGCACTTCACAATAACAACACTTACATTTGACCGGGGCAGCTCTAGCAGGGCAGAAGTTTCACGAACTGACTTGTTGGATAGGTGGCATGCTATGACAGTGCCACATTGAAAGTCACTCAGTAAGGCCATTCTACTGCCAATGTTTGTCTATTAGAGATTGCATGGCTGTGTGCTCAATTTTTATACACCTGTCAGCAACGGGTGTGGCTGAAATAGTCAAATCCACTAATTTGAAGGGGTGTTCACATACATTTTTATATATAGTGTATGTGACAATGCTGTTCATTGACTACAGCTCAGCGTTCAACACCATAGTGCCCTCCAAGCTCATCACTAAGCTAAGGACCCTGGGCCTGAACACCTCCCTCTACAACTGGACCCTGGACTTCCTGACGGGCCGCCCCTAGGTGGTGAGGGTAGGCAACAACACATCCGCCACACTTACCCTCAACACTGAGGCCCCTCAGGGGTGCGTGCTTAGCCCCTCCTGTACTAACTGTTTACCCACGACTGTGTGGCCTGCACGACTCCAACACCATCATGAAGTTTGCCGACGACATGACGGTGGTAGGCCTAATCACCAACGACTATGAGACAGTCATGTTTTCCCTGTTTATAACACATTTATAACATAATATAATAATAATAATATATGTAATTTTGCTTTTATCCAAAGCGACTTACAGTCATGCATGTATAAATCTTTGCGTATGAGTGGTCCCAGGAATCAAACCCACTATCCTGGCGTTGCAAGTGCCATGCCCTAACAACTGAGCTACTTATAGCCTTACTGTATAGTGTTGGGTGGTCTGGTAGCTCCACAACCTGCGGCAGAGAAGATCTTTCCTGTACAGGACCACCAGGAGCATGAGAATCACTATGAAGAACACCAGGCAGGACACTACAGAATGAAGACAGGCATGAAGAGACTTTATAAAACATATGTGGCATTAAAGTAAACATATAGGTTATGCATGATTGCTTTTAAATGTTTATTTATAACACATGCAAAATATACATAACCTAAACAATCAACAGTTAGGCAGTCCTGTATAAGAGCAACTGCTTTATGTAGCCTGAATGCTGTATTATGTTTATGGTTTAGCAGCCTGCCTAGGTTATGTGACTGCCACCACTCACCCGAGGCCACGATGACGGTTGTCTGATCCGCTGTCAGTGTAGGTCGGATAGTTGTAGTTGCAGACGAAGACATATTGAACGAAAGTAAGTCAGTATAAGTAGCCTTGTAAACAAGGTCCCGCTATGTAGACAGTTCTAAATGAAAACGTTGGCTTTCATTCGCTCTATTAGGCTTCTACTGTCCAAACCGCGAAGATGAAACCAATTGAAAAGGACAGAGCCCCACACTGTTGAATCCAGTTATGCTGCAGGAGTGTATCACCTACTGTATATCTATCTGCTTCGATTCTGCTGTGGGGTTCTGTCCGAATTTGGAGCTCACTAGTTGGAGAGAAAGGTGTCTAGCATCACGTCTGCCCGCCCTTCAATGGTCCAAACACGTATTTGGCTACCCTACAGACCTTTCACGTCTGTTTAGGTGAAAAAAAAATTGAACTGGAGAGAAAAACTTTGACCGTTTTGGAATGAGGCGTAGCCTACTGGACAAATATGATACACGTATCAAAGTATTTTTTCAGTTGCAAACTGGTAGGCTACAGACCAGACAGATCTTTGGAACCACAATTATTGGAAACTTCATTAATTCATAGCCTATGGATCGATACATCTTAATTAATTCAGTAAACATGCGATGGGATTCTCTGACTTCCCCTTCCTGAAACCACCGACTCTGAGTTGACAGGCTAATTAAAATGTGCAATTATCACATCAGAAAGATGATATCTCTTCTCATAATCAAGATATGTAATCTGTCTACAAATTAAGGAGATACTGAATTATCTAGCACAGCTCCATGATGCGCTCAGTGGGAACGGTTCGTGCTATTCGGGATCCTACCCCATTGAAGTTAAAATGTGAAATGGTTAAGGTAAGGGTTAGGGTTAGGTAAGGGTTATGGTTATGGTTATAGTTAAGGTTAGAGTAAGGGTAAGGGTAGAAGAAAGGCTTTAGGGTAGGGACGTCCCAAGGATCCCGGATAGCACTGACCATGCCCCCAAACCCCTCCTCTCACTCCCCTCCTCCTCCTTCAGAACTATCCATGGTGCTGAACAAGATTCGCTCTGACGTTACTACGCTGTCACGATGTGCTGGCTGTAGCTGTATGGTACAGTCAGCCTCCTACATGTCTTACATGTAAGTCATTCCAGAGAAAAGCTTTGGGCAACATGCCTGGTATTCGTGTCGGGCTTTCACACAAAGAAAAGTAGGAAGAAAGAGAAAGAGAGAGACTGGGGGAGAGAGAAAGAGAGAGTTGTCAGGAAATCTCTGCCTCGTTTTCTAAGGTGGGATCATTGATTTTGGCATTGTCTCCTGGCCTGTCTTGAGCGACTTCGAGAGGATGGAGACGATGGAGTCCATGGAGCCGATCTCTGCGCACTACACCACTGCATACCCGGAGATCCACCCCGATAGCGCCTATGGATCTACAGAAGCTGAGGAGAACCATTCACCATCTGCCTCCTCCGCACTTTCATACGACGAAGAATTAATGCACAAGGTAGGATGATTGGCTTAATGTATAGATAATATCAAACTCTATTACTTGTTGATTTTCTCATAAGACGAGGCTATACACTCGATTATCGCTTATTGATTTCAGTCACGTTTAGATAGAAATCGTAATGGTTCAGCTCTTTGGTGCCACATCCAAATAACAGTTGTCTTGACCTGACAGAATAGCACTTTGAATCGACATTGGGCTTTCCATGGTACTGAAACGCTGGATAGCAGTTGGATAAAAGCCCACTGACCATCGCAGCAGGAGAGAGTGGGTGACGATGTTTCCAAACCAAAGCAAACACCTGCACTGTGCCCTCCCCGTCCCCGCAGTCTTTCGGTCCGCTGCCAGTACCAGCTCATACCCTGTCCAAATAACCTCAACTAACTAGCCTATGTGCTGAGTCCAAACCAAATCAAATCAAATTGTATTTGTCACATACACGTGTTTAGCAGATGTTATAGCGGGTGTAGCGAAATGCTTGTGCTTCTAGCTCCGACAGTGCAGGAATATCTAACAAGTAATATCTAACAATTTCACAACATATACCCAATACATGCAAAACTAGTAAGGAATGGAATTTAAGAATATATACATATATGGACAAGCAATGACAGAGCGGCATGGACTAAAATACAGTATATACATATGAGATGAGTAGTGCAAGATATGTAAACATTATTAAAGTGACTAGTGTTCCATTTCTTAAAGTGGCCAGTGATTTCAATAGGCAGCAGCAGCCTCTAATGTGCTAGTGATGGCTGTTTAACAGTCTGATGGCCTTGAGATAGAAGCTGTTTTTCATTCTCTGTCCCAGCTTTGATGCACCTGTACTGACCTCGCCTTCTGGATGATAGCGGGGTGAACAGGCAGTGGCTCGGATGGTTGATGTCCTTGATGATCTTTTTGGCCTTCTTGTAACATCGGGTGCTGCATGTGTCTTGGAGGGCGGGTAGTTTGCCCCTGGTAATGCGTTCGGCAGACCGCACCACCCTCTGGAGAGCCCTGCGGTTGCGGGCGGTGCAGTTGCCGTACCAGGCGGTGATACAGCCCGACAGGATGCTCTCAATTGTGCATCTGTAAGAGTTTGTGAGGGTTTTAGGTGCCAAGCCAAATTTCTTCAGCCTCCTGTAGTTGAAGAGGCTCTGTTGCGCCTTCTTCACCACACTGTCTGCGTGGGTGGACCATTTCACTTTGTCGGTGATGTGTACGCCAAGGAACTTGAAGCTTTCCACCTTCTCCACTGCGGTCCCGTCGATGTGGATAGGGGGGTGCGCCCTCTGCTGTTTCCTGAAGTCCACGATCATCTCCTTTGTTTTGTTGACGTTGAGTGAGAGGTTATTCTCCTGGCACCACACTCCCAGAGCCCCCACCTCCTCCCTGTAGGCTGGTCTCGTCATTGTTGGTAATCAAGCCTACTACTGTTGTGTCGTCTGCAAACTTGATGATTGAGTTGGAGGCATGCTTGGCCACGCAGTCATGGGTGAACAGGGAGTACAGGAGGGGGCTGAGCACGCACACTTGTGGGGCCCCAGTGTTGAGGATCAGCGAAGTGGAGATGTTGTTTCCTACCTTCACCACCTGGGGGCGGCCCGTCATGAAGTCCAGGACCCAGTTGCACAGGGCAGGGTTCAGACCCAGGGCCTCAAGCTTAATGATGAGCTTGGAGGGTACTATGGTGTCCACAGCTTCAGCCTGGTCTCATAGACTAGACGTAACATAGTAAACATAAATCTGGGACACTAATATTAGTATGATATGTATAATTACATAAGACAGGTTACTTAAAGCAAAAACTGAAGTAGGGTGGTATAATGCGAATGTCTAAGAACCCAAAGGTAGGGTGACCACATTTAAAATACCCAAATGTGGGACAACAGGACATTGATTCAGAGTTTATCTAACTTTACGAAACAAGCACCATTGTGTGAAGTGAAGTGGAGGTGTTATGCTCCTTGGATAAAATTTGGTGATGCAGAAAAGAGTGACCACATGTGTGGCCGTTTTATGAAAATCTGGGAATATTTGGCCAAGGAAACATTTCAGGTTGGTCTCAGGGTATGTAAAAACAGTTAGGAAGGAAGACTTTTAAAACTGGATTGAGTGAAGTAGCAGCAAATATGTTGAATGAGCAACTAATGAGCACAGAGAGCCTCTCAAGTTTGATGAAATTACTTTATATCTTTCAGTCTAATACAGCTATTTACTTACTTTTGTAGCTCTTCATCAGAACAACACATTTCACTGCACTAATCTGGTGTATGTGGCAATATATATATATATATATATATATATATATATATATATATATATATATATATATATATATATATTTTTTTTTTTTTTTTTAACACGCTTTTTGTAAGTAGTTAGGCCTACTGTCCTCTTCAAGTTTAGCTGGAACAAAGGTTATGGACATACTGACAAGATACATGTCTCTCCGCCCTAACATTGGGAGTCGTTGTCCACAAAGCGGCACGGTGGGCTGTCTAGTCATCTAAACCTCACGTAGCAAATAAGCCATTCATTTTTTTGTTCTCCAAATTCGACACTCTCTCATTGACCTCCATAAAAAAACTCCTTGCTTGGTGGGCAAAACAACGAAAAAACACCACCTGCTGGAGGGAAACAGATTTGGGTCTCTCTCTTCCTCTCTGGCTGAAATTGAGTACCACAGTATGAGTCATAATACCCATAAAACCTAGCAGTTAAACACGGAAATGGTTCCAATAGTTTTTCCACCATTCATTTTTCCATGGGGGAAAGTTTGCCAATGACCATCTGAATGACTTCATATATGCTTACCCTGTCTAGACGTATTGATAACCACGTAAATCTCTCTCGGACAAGGTAACTTTTATCAATATATTTGCCTGTTATTACACCCCAAAAATAAAATGCTAATTAGCCGCTAATGTGGCTATCATACAGAACTACACATCCTGTCGCAAGCTTTGACGTCATCAGTCAAGGCAGTGTTGCTGTCACGATCGTTGGATACAGAGGACCAAGGCGCAGCGTGGAAGGTGAACATATTTATTAAATAATGGTTATACGAACAAAACAACAAACGATACATGACGTCCAAAGGTGCAAAACACAAACCTACACAGGAACAAGATCCCACAAACACTGTGGGAAAACTGGCTGCTTAAGTATGGTTCCCAATCAGAGACAACGAGCAACAGCTGATACCCGTTGCCTCTGATTGAGAACCACACTGGCCAACATAGAAATACTAAACTAGAACAAAAACAAACAAAAACTCACACCCTGGCTCAACATACTAGAGTCCCCAGAGCCAGGGCGTGACAGTACCCCCCACCCCAAAGGCGCGGACTCCGACCGCGCCAACCAAACACCACAGGGGAGGGACCGGGTGGGCACTCCGCCTTGGCGGCGGATCCGGCTCCGGGCATGATCCCCACTCCCTCTCTAACCCCCCAAAGTACCCCTGGTCCGGTCTGGCCCTGCTGACCGGAGCTGGACTGCACACTGGTGGAGCGGATTGCTCTAGCTCCGGCGTGAAGCAGCTGACCCGTGCCGAACCAGGCACCGGTGGAACAGGCACGGGC